AAAATTATATTTAAATAAATAATTTTAAATCAATATTTTGAATTTCATTGATTTGCTGAATTAATAAGTTTAATTTTTATAATTTTAATTGTTAAAATGATATTATTATTCATTTATAAATTATACTATTAAAAATGAATTAATAAGTATGACGTAGGGCACAATAATGTTTAAAAATGCTTAACTAGCAACTTGTATCCTCTCGCACAGAGATTTGATAACAATTTTACATCTGCAACAATCAGATATCAGATTCATATTACACACCAAAATCCAAGACAAAGCTAATTAAAATGAAGTAAATAAAAATTAGAAATGAAACAATTTCTATTGAAAAAAATTGATACTTGGCATTTTGAATCTGATCACATTGCTTCTTGATTCTCTGTCCAATTTTTAGATTTCTTGGTAAGAGTCACTTCAAAAGGAGACACACGTCCACTGCACGCTCGGTGATTTGCGCGTTCCAATTTCCCGGGCGACCCCATCGGCGCCAGCGTCGGTGTCAAAAGCACAAAAAGTGTCGGTTTCCAAAAGCAATTAATTTTGACGGCCTGAAATACACTTGTGACGTGTGCGTTCGTTATGCCATGTGTGTACCGCGAAAGAAAGAAACGGATCCTTGGCGGGCCCAAATAGCACAATCAGATTCACGAGGCAGCGGCGGCGCGGCGGGCGGCCTAATTGACAGGCGGTCTCGTGTCAAGTGCGATCGCAGAAATGAGTCTCGCTTTGAGCGACGCCGACCTTTATTGGGCCGGACTGGCACAGTAGGACTTCTTCATTTTCATCCCTCGCTTGATGCCACACTTTGGTATAATATTTTTTTTTTCTTCTTCCACCTTTGCTTTCAGTCGCCGCGCGAAAAGGTCTCTCGTGTTTGCCGGCAGCACTTTCTTTCCTTCTCCGTCTTGGATGCACTCGGCGCGCTTATTGATTCTCTCCGCGCCCTATTGGAAAGATTGCCAGCGCCTGGCTGAGTAATGAGTATGCAACCTGCATTGTACGCTTGCACGACGGATTGCATGCCAACTTCTTGCTACCGTCGCCAGGGAATTACGCCAGGCGTCGACTTTTCTCATATCGACGACGCTGCATGCCGTGTGTGGTGAATTTTTCAAGAGCGCATTAAACTTTTAGCCAGATAATGGATTGCTACGAGAACTGGATTTTCTTGTTCTTTCTGGAATTTCCTCTGAATGGTGGAAATTCTATTCAATAAGAAGAATAGGGGAAAATATCTTATCAATTTATATGCAGTACTTCTCTTACAGAATGCAAAGACATAGTTGTAGGGTGCGGCTTTAAGTTTGCAATTTGCATTCGTTGGAAATACTTAAAAATGAAATAAATCAACTACAATAAAACAAATTCTTATATTTAAGAATTCTCAATTACGAATAGAAATTTAAAATTTAGGCTATTTTATTAATAATACCAAAATATCAATGCAGGATAGTCATTTTCCTTTATAGAATTTCATAAAATTTGTCAAAACATCTTCATCAATGATGCCCAACTCAAATTCAAATGTTTTAAGTTAAAAAATTTCTAAATAAGCTAATTTTAATATATTAAAAAATTTAAATTTTAAGGTATAATTAATTAATGAAGTAATTATACTTTTGGGGCACAGCCAATGCCAAGATGATGTTCAATATAAAAAATTAAACTTCACGGTTACAAAAAAATTTTAAATCTTGGATAAATCTCTTGTCAACTCCACCTAACCGAAGTTGATATTTTCGTTTGTGACACGCAGTGTTTTCGAGTGAAACAGATTTCGCTGACACTGATGGCAGAACTGATTGAAGGAACAGCACTCTTGTGACACACAAGAAAATACTCTAGATAAAAAATGATTGTATAGTGTCAGGCAGGGACACAAATAGTCGCGCGAATAATAATTGGCCGCGCGTTGTCTGTCTGCTTGAACTCGCGACGCGTCACAAGAGGAGGCGCGCGGATTTGGCACCTGCCTCGGCGCCCGCACATTTATCTTTCACGCCGGCGGATTTGCGAAAGATTTTCCGCACGCTGACAGCAACCCTATCCAAAACAATTAATTAATTTCCAAATGCAGAGCGTTTGGTCGACTTCAAACGATTCACTCGATTTCAGCACTTTTTTTTCATTTCACCAAGAACTCGTCTTCTCCTGCGAGATTTGCTAAAAGCATCAAAGCGCTCAGCAATCGACATTTTTTCAATTCTTGACGAGATAAGATGTTGGTGTGTAATGAAATTTAAAAATTTCCCACAAAATAGCCTACATAAACACACAAGAGTAGGACTTTATTTAAAGGTTACTCTGCGTAGCTGTATTTTTTAAGAGAATAATTTTTTAATTTAGTTAAAGGTTTTAACTTTTAATATGATATAACATTATAAATTATGTTTATTATGATAATTCTTTTGAAAGAATTTTTAAATTAATACTTTATTAGAAATTTTTTAATTTTTTAATTATTTTGTATTAATAGTTGTAAAATAATATTTTGTTGCTAAAAGCTATTTTATTCAACAAAACTGTTACCTGGGAAGTACATTTAATTTTACATAAGTACTTGGATCCCATATCATATGTGGAAGGAAAAGTTTTAATACAAAAATTATAACATTGTCTCTCACACTTGGTAAGAACGTTGCAGCATAATAATTAAAAAAAAAAAATAGCAAGTTTAAATATAAAAACAGATTAAAAATATAACATTATTTGATATCATATAACTGGTGTGAGTTGTGATCTACGTTCCTCACATTTTGAAAATGTGTTTACTAAATTTGGTACACACTTTTAGAACAACACGTTTACGTTTTACAGATGCGGATAAGATAATTGCAATCCGCCGCCAGCAGTATTCCGAAAATCTTTGCACAAAAGGTCCATTTGCTTAAGCTCTCTGATGATTTAAGCCAAGAGCTCACTTTCTTCCACCATAAGTTGATGAATCTTAAAACTCAAAAGGCAATTAAAGTCGACGTTTCGCATTTTTAGAACCCACTTTAATCTGGCGGAATTGCGAGCCGTAAATAAAGCGCACGTTTGAACGCATAAAGGATTTAGCCTCGAGTTAGTATAGTTGTGTGTGTGGCGATCCCCCGAGCGGTATCAAGAACAGACACACTTTTTTATTCGGGAGGGCGTGTGTATGTATTTTGTCGGCAGGATATTCCATGCATACCAAGTCAACGCATAACACCCATAAAACGGAATGATAACGACCCATGGCGCGTGCGGGAGAAACTCTTTTGCTTGCAGCACCTTGGGAAGCTCCCCGAGAAATATGAAATGTATCTTTTAACACCGGCAGTTTTAATATTTGAAGACACGCGCGCAATTGCAGTAGCTGTTTCGTCACGTGATAAAATGGAACGGCGGCGACCGACCGGGCGGCGATTTCAGCGCCAAAGGGATAAGAGAAACGGTGGCGACGCAACTTGTCTTTACTGTTATTTTCAACGGGGTTTTCATCCCTGCAAAATTTAAGTTTTTGGTGAATTCAGATTTCTATAATGCATCAAAATGTATTCTTTGTTTTGTTTGAACAAAATTTTTGCTAGTGATTGTGCTGTTTTTTCCAAAAATTCCTCATCATACAAATAAATAAATAAATTGTTTTTCAATAATTGAATGTAAACAATTATTCTAACAATGTGGAAAAATAAATTAATCACACACAAAAATATTACTAAATTTTGTCAGGTCCAGCTATTATCCAATATTTCCAATAAATTTTCCTCACCCTGTGCGCATGACAAGAGTATTAAATTTTTATTGTTATCATCTCTCAATTCTAAACCCCTTTCTGTCAGTAAAAAGAGCCTCTCGTTGGAACTCATTGAGTGCTTTTTTTTAACTAAAATTGACTCCAGACAAAGCATTTTGTCCTCGGCACAAGTTAATCCTGGCGCATTTGGGGCTCTAATACTCTCGTCACCCTTCAGCCACCCCGATTAATTAGTAAAACGATCATCAGTCTCGTAAACAGTTATTTATGCGAGGCAGGACAAAAAACCAAACGCGTGTTTTATCTGCTCGTGGCGTCTTCCGAAGCAGCATTCGGAGCTACGAAGAATTCCATTCCATGAAAACAAGGCGGTGTATTTATAGCGCCAACGCCTCTATTGTTCCATCTCAAGAGAATCATCCCCGACTTTTGCTTTTAAATGGGAATCTCTCCGGCCGTAATGCGGATCGTAGATCACACCGGTCGTCGTCGTCGCATGTGAAAAAGCGAGCCGGGGCCAACAGACTGAAGAGAGAAAGGCGAAGGCACGACGCCAGCGCCCGAAAGCGCCGCAGCCAAGCACATAAAACCTGCTGCTGGCGCGAGAACCTATCAGGTGGGGATATTTTTAGAACTTTTGTAAACTATCGCTGGCGTCACCATTCGAGTCAACACAAAAAAGAACACACATTACATAATCCCACGGTTTTAGCGTCGCCCCCACCACCAATTCATTCCGATTCGAAAGAGAAAACAGCGAGAGCGCTAGGTGCCCTTTTAAATTTCGGCAATAAAGCCGCGGCGTAATCGTGTAAACAGAGTGCTTTAGTGCCAATCATAAATTCCTGGCTCGCCCCTGTGCTCGACGAGAAGAAATGGGCCGCACCGGCCGCTCGCGGGAATACCGGCCGTGTTTTAGTTACAGATGTGGATGGAGCCAAAACCGAAATCGCTCCGAAATAGACTCCGGCCGCTGGATCAATCGCAGCTCGATTTTTATTGCACGCGCCGTCCAACACCAAACACCCGCCGCATATTTCTCCCACGTGCCCAAATCCTGCTAATGGAATACTAAACTCTGCACCCCACTCAAAATATTCACCGACGTCATCCTTCATTTTTATTGTGCGGTAAAAATTTAGTACTTTAATTACAATTTAAACTAAAATTTACTCTATTCGTGACTTTGTGAGGCATAAAAAACACCAATTATAATATTTATATTTTGAATCTTTAAATTGCAGTTGATTTGACAATTCTTTTAACTGACCTTCACTAAGGGACTAATTCAGATGGCACAGCAGATTTATCAACGTACCTGAAACAGAGAATAAGAAAAAATTAAAATTTCAAGTCAATATCAGATGAGATGATGATTGCTAACAACTAATTTATGCAAAAAATTTACTAGATTGTAAAGTCAAAGATTCCAACTATTTCAGAGACATAAATATCTCTAAAGCTAAACGAGTAAATTCTAAAACAATTCAATTTTTTTTTCTTTGAAATATGTGTAATTTGTAACTTTTTAATCAACAGTCCAAATTTGTATGAAGAAAAAAAAATATTTTTCCAAATATGTAGTTATAGCAACGATGAACCACAAAAGATTTTAGTTACGTTGCTAGTTCATTTGTAAGTAGAGCGTGAGTTGCTTGTCGCTAAAAGTAAACAGCCGCTAATCCTTTTTGCCCTCTTGCAAAATCAGTTTCGCACGCGCGCGCGAGCCACCGACAGCGCAGCAACAAGCTCCGTTTTTTTCTATTTCTGCGTACTCAAGTTGGCAATTCGCTCTTTTGTCTGGCGCGTTACCCTTTTTTCTGCATCAGTCTCGCAGCTCATTAAAATTGTACACGGCAGCTTTCGCAACGCGAGCGCGAGAACCACGACGTGCAAAACCTTTGAAAGTGAAACGCGGCCGTGATTCTCATATTGCACATAGAGATTGAATTTTGCCGCGCTGACGATGAGAAATTCATAAAATTGAAGAGAAACAACAAATGTACTTCTTATTAAATGAAAAATAATATTTATTTATTCATTAATATCTTCACTAAACGAAATTGCATCATTTAAATGCAAGTTAATAGTAGATTGGAATAGTATTTGATTTCAAATGAATCGCAACACCACACAAAAGTTCAAGTTTATTTCATTTATTTGCTCTCCATTTGACTCCAATCATTGGTAAATATTGCACGGCACAAAAAGTTTGCAGTACATAAAATGTGGTAATTGTATATTTCATATTTCCATAGAGAGAATCAACAATAATTAAATAAATAATAAACATACGACCCATGAAAATTTGAGAGACTCACTAGAATAATCCGATTTATCAACTGCCTCAATTCCCAGTTCATTGATGGATGTGAAATTGATATTAATTTAATAAAATATTTTTTTTTCGCAATGTGCAATTAAAATGTGCATAAATTTTTAATCAGATAATGAAATTGAATGAAATATAATGGAATAACAGAATAATTAAAACAGATTAATAAGATAAATTATTGTTAATAATAAAAATTTGAATACCATTAGCTATTATGCATTTAGATTTTATTTATTTAATTGTAAATAATGTATAAACTGAAGTGTAAAATGTAACCTTATTTGAAGAGGTTGACATTTCTTGAAAGAGATGATCATGGAAGAGATCGGGCTTTTTCCTTTTTGTAAAAATGTTGTTTTTTTTTTTCAAAAACAAAACGGCTCTACCAGTTTTGAACACGGTCTGCGAGCAAGAAAAATATAAATACATAAAATTAAATTAAAATTTCTTGCTCATAAAATAGGGTCACAGACCGTGGCCGAAACTGGTAGAAACGTTTTGTTTTTGAATAAAAAATTTTTACAACGAGGAATAAGCCCGATCTCTTAACTTCCAAAAATTTTAACTATTTATATTATCATTTAAAAATTTAAATTTCCCTTACTATCAGTAAGCACAATGCTATGAATCAAGCAAAGAACTGAAATAGGAAGGAAGAGGACAACAAGAATGATCTCCAGTTGGACCCGCAGTGATCAATGAGGAAGGAACGGAGTTGGAAAGATCAATCAGCATTAGAGCTGCGCCAATTTCTTTTCCTCCGTCGGTTTGTTTTTGAAGTGCGCGTATTATTGCCGGCCCCACATCACCAGCATCCCGCCTTAATAAACCATCCGAGGCAAAAACCGCGGCCAAACACAGAGAAAGGAACTCTAATGCCTTTGTAGCAAAAGCAACTCGGATTGATGAGCATACTTTGCGCTCTCAAACCTTTTTTGCTAGCGTTGATTGCACCGGGAATTGTTTCTTTGCGAGAAAAACGGAAGTCTTTAATCAAAGTGGGGCATTTTAATTGGAACTTTTTTAGCTTTTATCCTTTTATTTTTTGATCTTTAATTTCATCGATCTGATTCCGCGAATTTGGCAGAAAAGTAATCAAGCGTGCCAACAAGACTGGCACCGACATTCAGACTTTTTCCTCCTCGAGACTTTGATCACCGCCTTTTTTGTTTGCCATTTCGCAATTCCATGATAAACAATTTTGAATTTTAGAGGAGAATGAGCTTGATGAATGCTGAAACGTTCAAAGAACCTTTCCAAATTACAACCAGATCGAGTTTCAAATAAACAGATCTTTCTAAAGAAATACCCACGCACAGAACTCTCTGTGCCGATCAATATAAACAAACAAGGAGGAGTGAGTGACGAAATAAATGCTCTCATCAAAGCAACTGCCGAGGTGGAAATTTGAAGGCGAATCCTTATGACGATTGAGAGTGAAATCAAATTGCGATCGAAATTTCGTTCATTCAGAGGCAATAGCGGAAAATTGGAATTGCGTAAATTCGGTTTCAATTATTAGCGAAGAATTAAATTCACGCATGAAATAATAGAATTTGATTGGATATTGATTGAATTTTCATTATGGAATACAAGTTTTTTTTTAGACAATCCCGGCAATTTGTTATTGAAATTTTATTTAAAAAAAGGTAAAATGCATCAACCAATTTATTAAAATATTGAGGAACCCAATAAACTATAATTTGTAACTAAATAATGTCATAACATATTGAATTAGTCACGAATATTTTATTTTTTTAATTTAACAGTGTAGTATTATCTCATAATTTTGGACAAATAATTCTGAATTTCCAAATTATTCATGCATCTCTATCAAAGTGTTTTTTTGGATTGTTGAATAATACAATCAGATAACCTAAAATGACTAAAAAAACCACAAGATTAAATCAACATTTTAGAATATATGTAATGAAAAATAAAGAAATTTATGAAAAATAGGAAATATTAATATAATAATTGCTAATATTTAGATAACAATTATAAAAAAATGGCTGAATAAAGCTTTAAAATATCAAAATTTATTAATTTTAAATTTCAAATATTATTCCATATTTATAATACATTTTCAGTGCAAATGATGTAAAAAATCTCAGAATCTTATTTGAGTGGCGTGACGTTTTAACTAATTTCGACGCGATTAACAAGCGTGCAAAGTGGCGCAGGACGGCGTAAATTGCAGCGCGCGCCTGAAAAATTGGCGGCTAATTTGCCGGTCGGCCGCGCGGTGAAAAATAAATTAATTCGCCGGCTCGTGCAGCTCGCAGCGTCCTTGTCGTCGCCGGCCATGTAATGCACGGGTAAACGTTTATTTATGGATGGGTGTGTGTGTGTGTGGAGGAGACCATTAATACCGCAAGTCGTTTTCCTTCTTCCCAGTTAGTTAAGAATCTCCAGCGGCTGCCGCGCGCGGCCAAGGCGGTCTATTTCCATTTCTTTGCTGCTGACAAAGTCAGTCGGGCGCTTGTAAAACTTAAATTGCTCTCTCTGCTGCGACTTCAAAGTCGGCAAATTTAATCCTGCACCAGAGAAGCCCAAGTTCAGATAATTGATTCTTTAAATGGGAGAGGGGAATTTAAATAATTAATTGGATAGAGATTTTCAACGAGTCCTAAAATTCACTCCAGAAGTTTAAAGGCTGTAATTAAAAGCACTGCTTCTTGATTGTGAAAGAGTCACCTGCGCACGGGATATAATTTTTTTTAATTTTAATATTTTTTTTTTTTACCTTAAAACAATTTTTTTTCCTCTTTCTAATTTTTCTGTTTTCCTTTCATTCAATAATTTTAGTTTCATTAATATTCATATGACGTACCTCAATTTGTGCAGAGTTTGCACTAATAAAACTTCAATTTGAACTAAAATTTTTGCTAAATGTTAATAATATTTATTCTCAGAGAGATACACACCTCATAAGATTCATCTGGCTTCATGAACCATAATTAACAATTTAATTTGATTCAGAGAAAAATGAAAATTACAAAAATATTGAAATTAAATAAGATATTATTATGAAAAAAAAAATGATATCTTGTCGCTGATTCTGCAAAATATGGGACTGACAAAAAGGGAAATGTCAGCTTTTTGCTTTCAGTCAAAGTCTGGTGTGTGCCGAATATTTCTCGTCTCGCATCTGCTTAGCTCTCGTTCAATATTTTTTTTTCACCGCACGGCAGACGGACGGTGCGTCTTTAAGGCGCGTCGCTTCTTGTTCCCAGAATATTTTCATCTACTCTCGATCATCTGCTAACCGGGCATTTATTTTTAAACCATCGCTCGCACGTCACCTTTTCCTCGTCAATCGGCAACTGGACGGTGAATGGTGAGGCCCACTTGAGTGACATCGCACCAAACACAAGCACAAACCGACAAACTTCACGCCCGCCTTCGTAACTAACAAGGACAACTTTGCTTAAAAAGCAGGAAAAATAAAGTTACTAAACTTTAAATTTAAATAATTTTAAATATAAATCACTGAGAATTAAATTTGTAATTTTAGTTTTATTTTTAGTTATATCACATTTACTCAATTTTATTTTCATTTACAATTTATATCAAATAATTAATATAATTTTATTTTCGTAAGAAAATTTACCATTGACATTGGGTTGGCTCAAATTCAAATTCAAATAAAAATCTATAAAAATATGCATCCATCTCAACAATTTTTATATAACACAGTAATTGTGAATTCAGCAATATGTAACCTCCTCAACATAATTCTCATTATACTCGATAAAATATCTCATTTAATATTTAATATTTTAATTACTGGTGACAATTTTGTCTTATCAATTGAAATACTATAATTATTTTTCACTTTTATAGAGTCTTCTTGTAATTTTTCCAACTGTTTGAACTCAATATATGTATTTTTTTTTTAATTAGTAAAAATAAAGTATTTTATGGATAAACAATCAATTCACATATGAGTTGTAAAAAAGAAACGATTAATATGTAAAAAA